TTCTGCTTTAATATGTCATTGCTGTCATTGTGTTTCTGTCTTTGCTCCTCAATTTAGTCAGTTTGTTATTTTTATTTTCCCAGATTGGTCTCAGTGAAATCGATCGTCCAGTCTCCTCATGTGAAGACTCGACCTACCAAAGTCTCAATACAGCGAGCAGAGATCACGACCAAACCTACTCCACACTCAGACACAATAACCAGTTTTCAGACATGAACTCCTGTGAAGCTGAATGACTGCATGAGCATACCTGTTATTTTTCTCCCATTGCTTCCATCTTTTAACCCAGGATCGTGTCAAAACATGTAATAGACACGCTGGTCCACCGTGTACATTTGACACTTTGCCCCTTACAAAACATGAAATGGACACACATGCAGAAGTTGCAGTAACAGCAGAGGGAGATTTATTTCAAGCCAACATGAAAATAATCATCAGAAAGCCTTTGAATAAATGTTATTAACACATTTACATGTATATACATATTAGCCACCTAGCTTAACTGTTTCTGATGATAAAGGACGAATGTACTTTGTCCTCACTACCGACTTCATGGCTTTACATATATTACTCCCCCTGCTGGTAATGCAACTTCTGCATTCATGTCCATTTCATTTGTTGAAGAGGTAAAGCGTGCGATGGACACTGTCGACCGACGTGTCTGTTACACGTTTTGCCGTGATATCAGTTTGATCCTTTAGCCACAGTGTCAATGAATGACGTACATGGATCTACAGTCTGCCCAAGTCACCTATTAGAAGGTCTACTTTTTAATTAAAATAAAAGTCATTTCAAAGTTTCTAAACTATCTGGAATCACTCGTCTCATTCTTTGTTTAAAATATGTTGTCAGGACACATTTGTGTGTTAGGAAGAGTGTGGATTCCAAATGCAGAAAGACTTGAACTCAAAACACAGCGTTATTAGCTAGTAAATGGCAAACTTAACAACACATACAGATGAGTAAAACAGGAGCAAACAGACTGAAAACTAACACTGACAGACAGAAGGGAGAACACACAACATGAGGGGAGATCACAACAAGTGAGTGAAGGAAACTAAAGGCTTAAATACACAAGAGGTGATCAGGGAGATGGAACTCACAAGAACACAAGTGAACTAAATCTGACAAACAAGACAGAGGATGCAAAACTGAATGTACGCGCAGGAGACGTGGGACTAACAAAATAAAACAGGAAGGAACACACTGAGACTGAGACATGACATTTGGACTGGGGATAAACAGACATGGAGACATGACAGACTGGGGACACAAAAGGATGAAACACAGAGATGAATGTCTTGAGATATATTAACTAGAGAAGACAGGGAACAGAGATAGGCACAAAAATAAACAAAAACAAGAAACCAGAGGTAAAACGACACAGAGACACTGGAGACACAACACAGGGACGAAACAGACTGGACACAAAAGGACAAGAAATCAAGAAATATAAATAACAAACTCATAGACAACAGAGTGTAACATATTCAGGAAGTAGAAGCTAAATTAACTTGTAACTTTCAAAGATACATAATTACATAATTTCCTTAGGTACTAATAAAATACTCTCATTCTGATTCTGATGTAAATAAGTCCAGAATAAAACTGGAAATATTGAATCAAAGACTCGGGACCATGACAGGTGTAGGCTAATTTCTTTTTAATTGTCAGTATCTAGCTCTGTTCATTTCCATGTATCTGATGCTACTTTTTGAGTTTGCACCTACACCCTCAGCACACACTTCCAAATGTCTTGTTGTTTACAGCTTGGATAACTTTCTCAATATTGAAAAGATAAATGACGGGCCGGACATTTTCTGATGACAGCGAAAAGAATCAAACAATTAAGTCACTAGACAGGTGTACTTAATCATGTGGCAGGTGAGTGAACACAGCTTTGTATTAAACAGTTTTTATTTTGACAGGAAGCCCCTCAGTGATGAGCTTTCTGTCAGTGTCACTGCTCCTTTAGTAGGTGAGTTGCAGATGGATCTCACTGCTTTATACAATGAAACAGCAGCCAGTTAAATAAGATTAGTTAACTACAAACTCTGTTTTGGAAGAAAAAAAGTTTCAAGAAAATGTAAAACGAAACCATAAATAAATGGACAAAAAAACCCTGTAAAAGCAGAGGAATGTGGGTTTGAGGGAGGGACCACAACAAGAAGCGAAAGTTAGAAGTTCCTGGTTTGCAAACGGAGAAGAAAGAGAAGCAGCATTAACCATTAAGCCGTCAGAACCTGGAGATGAAACTCTGTCACATTTTGTTCTGCTTCATCTTCCTCTGTGAGTAAATTCTTCTTATTTCTTATTTATAAAGATGTTTGCAGGTTTTGCACTGCATCAGAAATAGTGCTGAAAGAAGAAGCTGAGGTTGTCTGTGAGTCAATGCCCACCACTGTTCTCACAGAGCAGATAAAAGCCTGCATTCAAACTGGTAAAGGTTTAACAGTCAACGGAAATGACAGAATTACAGCGTAGTTTGTTGAGATGAAGACATACTCCGCCTCCTCGAGTTGACAGGTGTGCCAAGGTAAGTATCCCCGTCAGAATTTGTTTCCCTTACGTCGGAGCATTCGGTGTGGACGGAGAGCGGATGCAATTGACTCCGCCTCCATTACATTACCGTTTAGTTTGTTGGATGATTTCAATAAACCAAGGATATTTTGACTGATAATTATTTGTATCCTTCTCTAACTGTACTGTATAAAGAGCTAAAACGTCCAAAATTTCAGAAATAATAAGTCATTGTTAGAGGTGTTTGTGATCTAAAAGCCCAGTGCGCGCTCCCGACGCAGGGGAAACAAATTCTGTCGGGGATACCGACCTTGACACGTCACCTGGTTAGCAGCTGCTTTCAGACCGACAGCAGCTCGTTTGTGTTCAGAGTGCTGCTTCCTTCTTTTCCAAA